ACTTACAACGCTTGAAACCGGGTTTCGATACCCGTGATGGGCAGAGCACAGATAGCCCTTTGTGTAGCTTTGTGCTTAACTACAAACAAGATGATATATGTTAACATAATGTAGATAGATCTGAACCTTAAAAGTTAGTTTTGATTTATAGCCTAAATGATATTTGGAAACGTTCTGATTATTCCATATGGTGTTGTAGTGTAGGTTGATCTGCTCATTACAAAACTTTAAGAGGACCATATCAAGTCTTTTTGATAGGGGGGGGTGGGAGAGAAAGACTCCTCGCAGACCCTAGTAGAGTATCTAAACATTTAAATGTACTCAGTAGATTATGTATTCTTGTCGAACGTAGTAAACATAAAAAAACTGTGTGTACAATAAAACCATCCACAAAACGTAAGAAATGTCTCGTTCTAAGTAGCCCCCAGTGGCTCAGCGGTATGACTGCTAGGAACCGGGTTTCGATACCCGTAGTGGGCGGAACACAGATAGCCCATTGTGTATCTTTGTGCTTAATTACAAACAAACAAATCTTCTGAGTAAATGCACAAATGATATTTTTATCTAGAAAGAAACCGGAGATGGGAGAGTCGCCCTTCATGGTTTTTGTTTGTTTGTCTGTTGTACTTCACGCAATGGTACACGAGGGCTGTCTGCATTAGCGCTAGCCGTCCATAGAGAGAGAGAAAGCAGCTAGTCAACACCACCATCGCCAAATCTTGGGCTACACTCATAAGACCAAATAATGGGATTTGACCGTCACTCTTATAACGCATCCACAGTCCCAATGTGCTGATCGCATCTTGTTTGAGCGGTAACCGACGCGAACTAAGGAACCTCAAATTTACAATCCAGAATGCAAACTAATGGCTTGCAAAACAAAAAAGAACCCATACAAGTTACTATCATATGGATTAAACGAAAACTTCAAATAACTCATTTCAACATTTAAAACTGACGTTACTATAGAACAGGAAATATACTTAGAGACGAATTAAAAACTTATTATTCATCTTTAATGAAATGCTAATTATAAATTTTGCGTACGTTAACTACGCATGAAATCAATTTTAATTCTTGAGCTTGTGCTTTATTTTTTCGATAATTCCTTGATTGGTTGTCTTGATTAATAATTAAAGTCGGCGGCCGTGTAGAAAGGTTCTAATCCTTTCGGTTTCACATCAAACCAAGTAATTACTTATCTTAGTCTTCCAAATTATTCTAAGTTTACAATTACTTGTATCTTTTAAATGCAAGGATAAGAAGTAATCTACATATTTTGTTAAATTGAAAGTTTCTTAATTGCTTCACTACATTCCTTTCAGTGGTGGGCCGAACGTGGCCTTAGGGTTAGGGATGAGAAAACCCCTGGTTCACGTTCCGTTGCCACAAG